GCTGGGATATATGAATAGGCAGTCTTCCCACAAAGGAGGAACCACCCCAGGGTAATATAACATGAACGTAGTTGCAAGATACATTAGTCATGTCTGAGCAATTGAAAATTTTCGTTTCTTTGGTTAGGCTTTTGCAAGCTTGGGTACAGTTCACAAAATTGGCACAGCTGGTGTTACCAGGGGAGGTGACTGTCAACAAATCTATTTCAAAGGTACTAGCGTTTCTTTCTGTGGTAATGGTTCCCCACATGGAGTTGTTAGTGTAATTGATTGGACCTCCTATTCCCCCAGATGTGAACCAAGTCTGATTCCGGAGTGCTTCCATTGGAGTGGGCACCCCTATAAGGCATGACGTGAAAATATCCTCAACCGATATTCCACCTGCCAAACAAAAATGAGTGACATTTAATACGTCCTTTGCCAAATGAACCCACACATTTTGACTCTTATCGAACCTTTGATGCACCAACCCCTTAGACTCTAGAAACATTACACCTATGCAAAGAACTACTGTCCACATGGTTGACGTTTAAACAGAAATTTAAGTCCTTCTACTGGCCGACAGAGGTGGCATCTTTCCCTTTAGAGTTGGAAAACACAGCTGCATCATTTCACTATTTTCTTTAACCATATGATGTTTGTGGATAAAACAAACCTTTTAATAGGAAATACTCATTTGAATCGCCCAGTTTAGATTCTTTTTAGCCCAAGAAAATTCATGTTTTTTTTCAATGCAATGTTTCTATCTCAATTTGGTTTTCAGTGAATCATTTTGTCTCCTGTGAAGATGCACTGAAAATTGTATCTTGTTTTTCAGAGACAGATCAAAATGTAATGTAACGAGTCCAGTTTGAGCCCTTTCCAACATATTGGGTTCCAGTGTCTTAAAAGAATGTTTTTGAAAGGAACCTTTTTAAGAACCCGAAAAAAACACCTTTTCCCCCTGAGCATTTTCCTACTTGAGTTGCATGTTGAGAGGAAATTGCAAAAAAGTGAAAAGGCAGTTTTCATAAATCGGCACAAGATTCTTGGCATTTTTTACTCTCCTCCGGTCTGAAGTCTTGGGCGGGGCGGTTCATTGAGAACAGGCCCTGCACAGGCAGGGGGTCCTGTCCCCTGAGCTCTAGGACTGAATCCTACCTGGGTTCTCCTCTGGGTGCCACAGAGCTGAGTTTGTGACTGAAGCCAATGTGAATTCAACACGAGACACTCCTGAGATATTCATAGATTCATAGATGTTAGGGTTGGAAGGGACCTCAATAGATCATCGAGTCCGACCCCCTGCATAGGCAGGAAAGAGGGCTGGGGCTAGATGACCCCAGCTAGATACTCATCTAACCTCCTCTTGAAGACCCCCAGGGTAGGGGAGAGCACCACCTCCCTTGGGAGCCCGTTCCAGACCTTGGCTACTCTAACTGTGAAGAAGCTCTTCCTAATGTCCAGTCTAAATCTGCTCTCTGCTAGCTTGGACCTATTCGTCATGCATCTGCTGATGCACGATAAAGTGCCATTGGCTTTTTTGATGGCTTCGTTACACTGCCGACTCATGTTCATCTTGGAGTCCACTAGGACTCCCAGATCCCTTTCCATTTCCATGCCACCCAGCAGGTCATTTCCTAGGCTGTAGGTGTGCTGGACATTTTTCCTCCCTAGGTGCAGCCCTTTGCATTTCTCCTTGTTGAACTGCATTCTGTGGTTTTCTGCCCACTTGTCCATCCTGTCCAGGTCTGCTTGCAGCTCTTCCCTGCCCTTCGGCCCATAGCTTTGTGTTATCTGCAAACTTGAACAAAGTACATTTCACTCCCTCATCCAAGTCACTGATGAAGACATTAAAGAGTATC